TCCTTGTCCAGCACTTACAGAAGCTTGTGTTGTAGCTTTAACCCCTTTTTGGGTCCGTTTGCATCACAAAGAAGGGTTGTTCTCTGGCTACAAATTGTTTATAACCTGGGCCCAGCATCTCTAAATCTTGTCAGCTGTTTCACAGGTTAGTCACCTTCCAGTTCACAGAGGAGATCAGGTGAGTGGGCAGGCCTGACCTTATTACCGCAGCTGGAAGGTGAACTCAGCTGGTGTTAGCTTGAGATACAAAGGATAGCCTGGCTATTGCCTTCTGTCAGCATAGTTGTGACAGGACTGGGGAGAGGGTAGATCATGCTTAGAGTAAGCAGAGACGTGGCTGTAGGCTGCCGTGGGTGCTCTCTTGGAAGGGCCTGAGAATATGCTTATGAATGATTGCAAGGACAGAAAAAAGAGTGACTCCCAGGGCAACCCTACAACATGTTTGTTAACCTAAAAAATGAACTGTGTTCCTTTGGATGATGTAAATCGAACCAAAGACCTTATTGGGAAATGTTTTGAATTGATGTCAGAATTTGACATTAAGTAGCAAATTTTGAGGCATCTGATAAGCCACACAAATAAAAAGTTAACGAGAAATAAGTAGTGATTAAATTGAAAGAGACATTACACTTTTACTACCCAAAGAGCGTAGATAGGGATAAATGGGCACCTTATATTCTCGTACCAGGACTTTCGCACCGGCTTCTGGCAGTAGCTGTAGGCCTGGTCCTCATGCACCACGCGAAAAGGTGCTCAGCACTGACTCGGGTGGAGCTGTGAGAGTGAAACAAGGTGAGTGATCTGTTGAAGCCCAATGGCTGGAGCTGTAGTAGTGATAACTCTCCCAGATATTTGTGTAGCACTTTACAGTTTGCAGTGCATCTGTGATCCTTGCTTTGTGACTCCAGGGGTAGGTGTTATTACCTCAGTTTTTGGGTGCGGAAAGTGAGGCCCATGGAGTGACTCTCCTAGGGCTGTATAGCCAGTGGGTGGCCAGTGCTGCCTCCCCTATTCTGGGCCAGCTTCTTGTTTTACTCCCGAGGAATGATGCTTTTGAGGCTGTTTTAGGAACTGGAAGGACTTTTTATGGTATTAATTTTGAAAGTAGCAATAGATAATGGCAAAGCATGAATTTTGATAAGAAGTAGGTGAAATGGTATTTAGGTGTAAGGGTGGCCTGTCTGCAGGATGAAGGTTTATAACTAATACTTGATTTTTAGCACTCTGATAGATAAACATTTAGTGTTGTTGTATTTCTTGGACTTACAGAAGTATAAATTAAAATATAAAATTATACCTGTCAAATTGGCATGTATATAGCTTTAAACACAAAACTATATTACATGTGTAACATAATATATGTATATGATAGTATAATACATAATGTATATTTGTTAAAATACACATAGTATATTACAGCATACTATGTTAATATGGTACATTGAATATAATGTAGTATAATATATTGAGTAAACTTTATCTAAATTATGTATCAATTAAAATAGCTTTAAGATTCTAAAATTTAATAAGGGTCGTTTTATCTCCTTAAGAGGAAGTGATACAGTTTTACTTTATTGTGTGGGATTAAGGAGTATCTTGTTTAACAGTAGAGAAAGCACTGAACTAGAGAATGGGGGTTACTAGTTATGGTCCTGTTGCTGGAGGTTACTTATGATCCCTTTTTATCTCACCTGTGAATTGAGAGGATTGGAGTCAGTCTTAAAGGAATTTTCCTAAGATGTATCTCAGTTTTGCAGAGGAATTTCAGCAACAGTCTCAGTGGCTGTCAGTTGTCAGAAAAGATGCAGCTTCAAATAGAAAGTCCCTTGGCACTCACTTTCCTAACTTCCACTGTTCTTCGAAGAAAGGAGTCATGGGTTTTCTTTCAAAGATCACAGCCTTTGAGTTGTAGACTCTCCCTTTGTTGTCTTGCCTCCATTCTGGTTTGGGTCCTGTAGCTACAGAAGGATTTGAAGCTGGGAGTTACCATGATCAGATTTGCATTTTAGGAGAAATATTGATGGTGCCATGAATTAGGGCAGAGGAAATGGGGAGAAGAGATGATGAATTCATTAAATGTTTAGGGGTTGAGGAAGTCATGGCTCAGGGAATGAGGGAGAGAGGAGAGTTGAGGACAAGTCCTATGTTCTGATTTAGGAAGTTGATGGAGGTGGTGTCATTAATGAGATAAGGAAAGGAAGAGTGAAAGAGGGTTTTTTTGGCACACATGAATTCGGTTTGGGATGTGTTGGGTTTGAGGTGCTTGTGGTCTGTCCCAGGGGAGGTGTCTCTTAGGCAATTCAATGTTTAGGTCTGACTCTCAGGGTATAGGTCTTGGGCTAGAGATAATGGATTTAGAATTCATTAATTTATCAACAGCAGTTAAAAATCAAGGGAGTGAATGAGAGTTCCAATAAGAGCATGTAGAGTGAGAATATGAAGGCAAAGAACATGGAGGCCCCTAGCATTTAAGGGTAAGCAGGGGAGGGAGAGCCTGCAAAAGAGATAAGACTCAGTTGGAGTCCCAGGACAACCAGAATGGGGATGCCGGGAAAGCCGAGGGAGGGGTTTCCAGAAGAGGGGAGTGAGCAGAGGTCACTGCTGCTGAAGGGAAATCATATAAGCTGGATGCCTTATAGAAGATTTTTAGTATAAATATAAAAGGTTATTTATTTGGTCATTGGTGACTTTTACCGGAACACTTTCTCTGCTCTATTGGGTTACAAGCCGGATAGTGGTGAGTTAAGGAAGTTGAAATTGGAAGGAGGTCCTAGAAGTTGTAAGAAGGGGCTCACCCTGTTACTTGACCTGGAAACCTTGACGATTTCTGCTTCACCCACATCTTGTCGGACACTGACCCTGGTGGTGAAGGGGAGTGCCTGAGTGTGACCCTGAGACCCAGTCTTCCTGGGTTTGAATCCCAGCTCCATTACTGATAGCCTGTAAAATCCAGGGCAAGTTATTTAATCTGGCTGTGCTTCGGTTTCCTCACCTATACAATGGAGATAAAGTATCTCATAGAATGTTAAGGATTAAATGAGTAAAGTGCTTTATTGAGTGTGCCTGGCACATAATGAAGCACTCAGTGAATGTTAGCTATTTTGAATCCTTAATATCTTTTGAGTATGTTCTCCATGGATGACTATGTAATAGCTTTTTTTTTTTAACAATTTTGATGTGTAATATATGTATTATAAAATCAGCCTGCTTTCTGTGTACAACCCTTTCTAATAAATTAACCAAGTTGTACAGTCATCACCACAGTCCAATTTTAGAACATTTTCATCACCCTAGTACAACCTCTCATGCCCATTTCTAGTTAATCTCCATTCCCAGCTTTAGGCTTACCTACTTCCTGTCTGTATAATGTTCCCTTTTCTGGGCATTTCATGTAAATACAGTTATACAGTATGTGGCATTTGTGTCTGGCTTCCTTTACTTAATTGTTTTTTAAGTCTATCTGTGGTGTAGCATATATCAGAACTTCTTTTTATTGATGAATTGTAGTCCAGTGTATGGATGTATAATGTTTTGTTTATCCATTCACTGGTAGATGGATGTTTGTTTCCACTCTTGCTGTTATGAGTGATGCCGCTGTGAACATTGCTGTGCAAGTCTTTGTGTGGACATATGTTTAATTAGTTCTTAGGCTCCTTCAGGGATCCTCCTGCTTCTGTTCTTGTCCCCCTCCAATTTGTTTTCCATGCTGTAGCTAGAGTGATCTTTCTAAAATGTAAGTCTGATGGTGTCATTATCCTGCTTAAAATCCTTCAGTAGTGCCCAGTTGCCCTCAGGGTCAAGTTCAAACTCCCTAACGTGAAGGATTTACTGAGAGGCTTCAAAATCTAAAGTCTTATTTCCTTTTCCACCTTCTCTTTCACTTAGCTCTCTCCCCAGCTTCCTGCTTCAGCCATTCTGTCATTCATTCGTATTATTTCATTTATTTAACCATTCATTCAATTAACCAGGCTTATTGAGGCTCTGGGGATATAATAATCGATAGGACAGCCAAATCTTTGCTTTCCTGGAGCTTTTTTCCTAGTGTGAAAGGCAGGCAATAAACAAGAAAGCATCAGATACTGGTAAGTGCTATAAAGGAAATAAAAAAGGGTGATATAATAGTAACGGGGTGGGAGGGGGTGATGATCCTCAAATCTCCAGGCCTGAGTTCCTCAGAGCCTCCGCGTTGTTGCCAGCTGCCTGCTTGATATTTCCACTTGTCAAGTGGTGGGAAGCTCTGTTGCTTAACTATACCATCATGTGGTACCCTCTTCTTAGAGTGCCCTTATCCTACTCCTCTTCCTAAGTCCTGTTTGTCCTTCTCAGCCCCAGTTCCATGCCCAGCCTCACTCCCAAAGCCTTCTCGATGCCCTGCCCATCTGCCCATTATGCTATTATGGGCAGACTGACTTAAGTATCACCCTTCACATTATATTTAAATGCATGATGATTGTCTGTTTCTTCTGCTCCACTTTAGGCATCTTAATGCCTGTTGAATACCTAAAGTCTATCCTAGTTCCTGGCACAAAGTTGGTCCATAATAAAATCTGTTGAAAGAGGAATTGTTTGTGGTTAGCCTTGACCAGGAGGGAGGGAGGGACACCATTTCCTGTGGGACTGGAGGGAAGGAAGGAGCTAAGGCCTGCTGCATGCCTAAATTAATTTGTAGTATGGGGGAGGGAAGTTGAAGGAGTTCTGATGGCTTACATTTTCTCAGAGATTACAATTTAGAGCACAGTATAAAATGAGGGAAAGAGTTACTTATAATGAGCAATTAGCAGTGCATTAGAAGAAATAAAGAAGTAGTGCTGTGGGGTGCATCTTGAAATCTTAAAACTGTTCTTACTTGCTTTTAGTTTTATGGCTATTAGAGTTCGTCTAGTTTCTTTAGGCCATTTGTTATACATAGTGATATGGATGACTAAATTACTTGGATACTATTGTGCTGTTTTCTCTCTTGTTCTTTTATAATTGATTTTATTTTGATGTTGCTTTTTCAGCTTTCGGAAAATGTGATTGATCGAATGAAGGAAACCTCTCCATCTGGCTCAAAGTCTCAGCGGTATTCTGGTGCTTATGGTGCCTCAGGTATTTCAGAATTTTAATTTCTGAGTTCTTCATAGAAAAATTATAAGTGGTGAGAGTTCACTTGATAGTCAAGTTCTTTTGCAGTTCTGTCTTTTGTTATTTGGATGCTTGGCTTTTTACAGGGAATGCAATCCTCCCTTGTAGTATTTGCATATAACCTACGCACATCCTCCCATATACTTTAAATCATCTCTGGTTTACTTATGATACCTAAACACACTGTAAATACAGTATAAGCACTATGTAAATAGTTGCCTGCATGGCAAATTCTCGTTTTGCTTTTTGGGATTTTTCTGGAATTTTTTTTTCTGAATATTTTCAATCTGTGGATGTGGAACCTGTTTGGATATGGAGGGCTGATTGTGTACGAGGGTTTCTTTTAACATATTTTGCACTAAACATAGAATCTACTTCAAAGCAGTCTATGGAAAGTTTTTTCTCTTCCAGCGCCTGAATCCTCTGTTAGGTTTTGGAAGGTTATTTCATATCTTTTTGTGTAAAATGAGTTATTAATAGGGATATGAGAGGTTTAGGAGGTTTATAAATAGAAATTGGATTTAGAAAATATTGATTTATTGTTTCCAGATGGTAAAGTATCTTTAATGATTTTACTTTCTAATAGACTTCTTCTAAGTTTATAAACAGTTTATTCCTTCATAGTTAGTCTCACTTATTGATGAAAATACGGTATTAAATAAAATCCATAGAGAACTTTTAAGTGTTATTTAATCTGTGGATCCTGCAGGATAAGAAGATTATTTCTCTCTCCTTTCCTCTCTCCTTTCCTCTCCCCTATCCTTTCCATCTATTCATCCAACTAATATTTATCGAGTACCTGCTATGTGTCTGGCACTGTTTTTGTTGCTGCACTGTTTTTGTTGATGTATGGACGTGTTGTTTATTGGTGAAATGGCAATGAGAAAATAGTTGGAATGATTAAACTTGGACTAAATGAGAATCTTCTTTATTTATTAGAAAGGGACATTGTGTGGTAAATCTGGCTATAGACTGAAATACTTTGCGAAAGATGAGATGCTGCCCAAATGCCATTTACTTGGGGACACTTGTGACCCTCTTACTGATCATTAAGTCAGTAAAATGAATTAAGCTTCTGATGATGTTTAGAGCGGAAGGTACCAAGATGAGTAAGAAATAGTTCTTGTCCTTTTGAAGTGTGTTGTTTAATAGGAGCACTAGGAAGTGTTCATAGTTCATTAAGGTTACATAGAAAGTCACTACTCCTTGCCTGCTGGAAACCCTTTCTTTGGCTTCTGGACCGCACTCTTGGTTTTCTTCCCACCTTACTTGTATCCTCAGTCAAGTCTTCTTTGCTGATTTCCACTAAGTAATCTCTTTAAATTGTATGACTTTTGAATCATTATGTAGATACCTTTGACTCCCAAAATGTCATCTCTACCTTTGACCCCTACCTGAAACTCGACTTAGAAAACTGCCTACTTGAAATCTCCACTTAGAGCTGTCTTCAACTTGACTTACCTAAAACAAACCTTTTCTTCTTCACGGTTGCTTCTCTTCTCCATCTTTCCGAGTAAACGGCACAGGTGGTCAGGCCCCAAACCTGGGATTCATCCTTGTTTCCTCTTTTCCTTAGTTCTTATATTAGGCCATTAGCTACTCTTGTCAAATCCATCTCTAAAATATGTTCAGGTTTGTTCAGGTATGTTCCTTCACGTCCATCTTCACTGCTGCAGCTCCAGTCAAGATAAATCATCATCTCTTACCTTGTCTTTTGCAGAAACCTCTTAACTGGCTTACTGCTTCCACTCTTGTCTCCCCCTCTGTGCTTTGCCATGCACGCAGTGGCCTCAGCAATCTTAAAAAAAATAAATCAGTTCATATCACATCTCAATGGTAGGTCTCCATGGTACTTAGAAGATAATTTGAACTGCTTTTCTTGGCATCTGAGGTATACCATGACTGGTCCCTTCCTGCTTTTCCAGAATTATCTTCTGATATATGGATATTTTTAAAATTGGAATTTAATCTAAAATATGATTTGTTCTAGGTAGATTTATGTGTACTGCGTTAAAGAGATAGAATGATGATGAAATAGTGGTAACACTTAAATAATGTTTATCATGTGCCACGTACTCTGTTAAATCCTTTTCTTATCTCATGTAACTCCTGTAACCCTGTGAGAAAGGTGCTTTTATTAAGCCATTTTGTATAGAAAGAAACTGAGATTTGAGGTTATTAATTATCATCCCCAAAGTCACACAGCTGATAAGCAATGGAGGTGATGGTTGAATTCAAGTCTGTTTGCCTCTACAGCAGTTACTGGTAACCACTCTATTTCATTATAATTTGAATGACACCTTGCTTCTTTTGTAGAAAGGATGTGATAGAAACTAGTTGGAGGGAAAGAGCTGCCTTTTAGTGATGCTCTGCTTGAGTTTAGGAAAGCACGTTCTATCTATAAGTGAGTGTTGGTTCTTCTAGTTTTTTCCCATATTGCCTCTCATCCAGTAGTGAGTTGAAGGAGAGGAGGTGTTTTCCTTCTTGTGTTGGATTCTTAAACTGATACTGTTAGAGAGTGGGTGTAGATGGGGAGGCTTTCTGTGAACACTCGTCGTGTGGCCTGCAGAACATGACACTGACATTGTAGGAAGTTCTGGCTGTGCTGAGGTATCCATCCCTTCCCATTTCTAGGTTTTACATGACTCATGAACTTTTTGGTCTATGACAAGCCCAGGCCCTGGAAACTCTTTGAATGCCCCCTTATGTTTTGTTGGTTGGGCTAGAACTACGTTCTCTACGTGGTAGCCACTAGTCACATGGGGCTGTTAAGATTTAAGTTAGAATTAATTAAAATGAAATGCGATAAGAATTTCAGCTCCTTAGTCACACTAGTCACATTTCAATGCTTAGTAACCACATGTGGCTATTGGCTACCATATTGGACAGTAGAGCTATAGGACATTTTCTTTATTGTACAAAGTTCTGTTCCAGAGCTTGAACCTAGAATATATCAATGCTTGGCCTTGTGAGCTTCATCAAATGTTTTTAATGATGTGGTGACTGAGGTTATGGAGCTAGACAGCTCTGTGTATTTGTGAACCTTGTTTCCTGCCTTTTCCACATCCCAGCTCCCCCAGGATTGTAGGTTAATGGAAACTTCAGGGAATATTTCCCTGAGTTCTGCTATCTTAGCCTCAGTCTTTAGCACAGCTTCCTAACCTGTGTTTGTAGATCAGTTGGTTTCTTAGACTCAGAGTAGCTGGTGTACCCTCATGCCGTACAAATACTTGCTTTTTCTGTCTGCATTGTGATGTGAGAAAAGCTCAACAAAGCTAATAGCGCAGGCTCTTTGAGTATATTTCCCTTACCCATTCAAACCCAGCCCAAGAAAAGAAGTAAGATTTGGCATTTTATTTTGAAATGATCTTGCCTTTAGGTTAAGAATGCAATTAGACTATGATTGTGTAAAGTAACAAAGATTTATTCTCATAAAAGTTTAAAAAATATATATTTGTAAAAAGTAGAAAGCCTTGAAGTTTGTTCTCTTCTGCATTTGTCTCATTTGGAGTTTTAGTTAGTACCCCATAATTTTAAGATTTATAATTTAGATGGGTTATGAAGTAATTTTTCAAGTCTATAAAAATAATACTGATAAAAATGTCATCAGCCTTTTCTACATTTTTCACTGTCAAGTAAATTATATTTTAAGTGCGAGTTGAATTTTTAATATTTGTTAAAATGCTTTTCTTCCTTGAAGGACTCTTTAATTCATACCAGCCCTGGGCTATTCATATGTGTGAATATAGGGCATAGTTGATGGGCTGAGAACTCCAGGATTTCTGTATATAGGAACTAATACTGTATTTTGTCATATATATTGTTTTGAGAATATAATTTATGCTGTAAGAAGGTCATTTCCTCTAAAGACTTTACTCAAAATGTATTTTTTCCCCAAACCTTGAACCAGACCAATGACTCGTTGCAGTATCTGCATGTAACACTATTCAGGCAAAATAATGTACTGTGTGACACAGAGCAGATTATAATGCCATTTTAATAAATGAGCGTGCTCTAAAGAATTTAACTGTGTCATTGCTGCATCAGAATCTTTGTTATGTGCTATCTAAACTACATTGGTTTACCAGACTTTTTTTTAAGGCTAGCATAAGGGAATACCTTGCACTTGGTACCTTGCATATAGTGCAAGAGATATCTTATACAAAACTTACCTTCTCATTAACATCTTGCATAATTTGATTTTAAAAATCCATGTTGGATATCGATTTTTTTCCTTTCCTCCTTGATCCTTTAGTTTTTCTGCCCTTTATAGTGAGGGCAGACCGCTCATGTTTAATCCTATCTAATGCTGCGGAAACTTTGTTCCCAAATCAATATGAAAAACCAGGCAGGAAATGATACTGGGAGGCTGTTTGTTGGTTTCCTAAGCCACTAGATGAAAATGATGAATCTGGAAAAAAAGACAAATGAACTCAATTTTATTATTATACTCACCATGCAGGTTTCTCTGTACATTACTTGTCACTGGGAAAAATAAGAAAGATTTGCCGATTTGTGTTAAGTGGATCACTGAGATCGCTAAGTATTTGGCAGCCTTAACAAATTGCAGGAAACCAATTTAAGCAGGAAACAGCACAGCCCAAACTAAACAGCCAATTTAGGGAAACAGATGCATCTATATGTTCTATGTATTTTTCTCCCGGAATCTGGCCCTCCTTATATTTAAACAGCTCTTTAAGGCTCATTTAGACCTAACAGTGTAGGGAGAGTTCACAGTAACACGCTACACTTGTTCCTTTGGGTTGAGTGAGTTACAAGAACTGAAGGGAGTTATAATATCCTGGTTTCCACCTTTTAATATGTGAAATTTTGTTGATGCCAGTGATTCAACAGTGCTTTCTTTTGCATATACTGAAATAGTTTGCCTGACAGTTCCTAAAAGGAAGAAATGTATACACTTTTACTTTAAAGGTATGATCTGAATCAAATTCTCTAGTTAGTAT